ACGTCGTCCGATTTCGCGTTCTCTTAATTTTCTAATCTTACGTTCGTAATGTGATATTTGATCTTCAGCTCTACGTTTCGGCATTGTTCTTTTCTTTTCCTCTTTCTTAAGTTGACGCGTGTTGTTGTCACCGTGCACGAAAAGGGAAATGAACTCGGAATGGTCTCGCACCCTGTCCTCGACTCGCCGGAAGTGGAGGTAAGTCGCGTGAAATTCAAATTTCAACTTAGTAAATTGAGTGTCTTTTAAGCGTGCAAAGTCACCTGTAGGTTGAGGGGACTACCTGGTTAATACTTATATCGAAAAATGAAGCGATGAAATATAATTGCAATTCTCTAGTAATGCTCAGGTTTTTTTGGAATCCAAATGTGTTTACAAGTTACAATCTTTACCACGTCATATTTGAAAGCATGCCGTATAAATACATTTACTTTATGATCATAAAAATTATAACTACAGGTAAAGTCTGTAGTCGTTGGGTCATCTTTTTAGATATACCAGAAGTTTGCTATACCTATGTAGGCCAATGTAGGTTTTTTCCCCAGAGAATGTGATATTCAATATGTGTTTGTGTAAATGTTAGGCATTGGATACCCACGGTTATTTACATTTTAAGTGGCAGCAAAGTGAAAAATCATATTGTTCTCGCTATTTTAATATGTATGTATTTCTCATTTAAGTATTTATAATATGTGGTTATATGTTTTAGAATAACTTTGTGCATTGTAGGTATTAATTCATTCATTGTGAATTTGTCAATTGCGTACCTACTTGTCAGCAAGACAATGCAACAATTAAAGGCTGAATGCACATTCAATGCATACCTATGTATGAACAGTTCCTAATGCAGTCATTGTAATTATATTTGGCCTCTATACAAGGTACGAGGAATAGATAATGCGAATTCCAATAAAAACTTCGAGACATGGTCAACAGATCATAGCTCAATATCAAATGTACCGATAAAAATCTATGATAGAATTTGTTCACAGTCAATATGTTTAGATATTCTAAAACGAGAACGTATCACTTTAAAATCATACATTTTCCTACCTGACAAACAGTTGAACACTAATGTCATTTGTAAGTGTTGATTTACAAAAAGAAAAATGTGGGTAGGTGACAATTATCATATCAAAATTAAACAGTCCTTAAAGTAAAAATACTTTATTGTTTACCTTGATTGTAATGACTTCATGATGCTGACAAAACATACCAGATCATAGGATTGTGGCTTGATAGGTTGTGTGTTAAGCTGCACCGAGACTCTCAGTCATATGAGAGTTTCAAAAGACATTATAAATTATATTTTATTTATGCATTGTGCAATATAAATATTTAATGTAAGCCAAATATGGTTTTCAGTCTTTTAAATAACATAATCTTAGTGACTAGTACAATAAGAATCACAATATTTTTAAAAATAAACTTCAAGTTTATAGTATTGAATCAGTTCAATTTAGCTAGAAAAGTTAACAACTGATATATTGGTATGGTCCATTAAAAAGAACATTCTACACATAAAATATTACACTCACTTACTATAATACTATTACATTACATGCTAAATTATATGTTTTTAATAGTATTCACATGACTATGCCAAGCTAAGTATTTTTTATGTTTATATTTTAACCCAAAAAGGTTTACCTAATGAAATAAATATAGATGTTTATAGCAGATCACTTACTCCTTATGCAGAGATGCATATGAATTTTAAAAAAACATATAGGAATGTATTAACTTAAATGTTTTAACTTAAACTACAGTACATTTTGTCATTTGGGAAGACAATAAGACACAATGCCAAAACTCAATCAACTTTCAAAACTTACACTACTCAGACTTGTACATATCGTTAAAGGATCTTCAAAGTTGATTGCAAAGAATAATTACAAATGGACTATCAAAAGGACTAACATTTAAAATTATATTCAAGTCTTTGAAAAATGTATGCTTACTATACTTGTGTTACTTAAATTTCTATGAAATAATACTATAAGGTGGAAATATTATTCAATATTTACTAGATTTGAGATCATAATGAATTTAAATTTTATTTACTATCTTCCAAATCCTTCAACTTTTACATTACATTTGGAACTGTGTATTCCAAAGTACAAGGCTTAACAACTAGAGGTTTTAAAGATATTGACTTAACTTGGGTATCAATATGGCTAACTCTAAGATGTCTGGAAAGATCACTGGTGCGGAAGAACCCTCGCGAACAATACTGGCAGATGTACGGAGTGTGGTTAGTGTGCTGCTTTAGCAGGTGGAACTCCAGCATGGTGGCAGTTGGGAACGTTTTGGTGCATTCCCCTATGGAACACTTGAATTTCTCAGCATTTTCATGCTTGAACATGATATGGTGAGCGAGACTCCGTTTTACTCCAAACGCTGCATTACATAACCCACATGTGAAAGGCTTTTCACCTGTGTGTTTTCGCATATGAACCTCAAGGTTCGAAAAAGTCTTCAAGCAAATGTTGCACTGCCCTGACTTTTCAGAGTGCACTCGTCGTATGTGTGTCTGCAAGTTGCCTTTCATTGCGAAGGCCATGCCGCAAAAACTGCATATGTTCTGCTTTTCATTTGTGTGTAAATTCAGGTGAGCATTTAGTGCAGTCTTGGATTTCATGCACTTGTTGCACAGATGGCAGCTGAAGTTTCTCTCCTCACTGTGCACACTTTGATGTTTCCGGACAAGATTTTTGTCACCAAATTTCTTATCACATATTGGACAAGAATAAGGTTTTTCACCTGTGTGGGTCCTCTTGTGTCGTATCAAAGACGCCGCCTGCCGGAAACGCTGCGAGCAAAAGGGGCAGACGTATGGTCTCTCTCCAGAGTGCACCCTCATGTGTGTGATGATATCGTTTTTCCTAAAGAAGCTGTTGCCGCACGTTTCACAGGTAAATTTTCTTTCGCGCTTGCAATGGTAAGTGTCTACGTGCCGCTTCATTGCACCCTTTGTACGAAACTTCGCTTCACAAAACGAGCAATCAAATGGTTTTTCACCAGTGTGAATGCGCATATGATTTTGCATTGCCGATGGGCTAATTACGAGCAGACCACAAATAACACACTGTATAGGTGCAGCTTTGGTTCTCCGCACTTTCTTTTTAAACAGTTGTTTTCTTTCTTTTCTTTTACCTTTCTTTTTCTTGATGTTCTGCAAATGTTCAGAAGCGGCATCTGACACATCGTACTCATGATCATATTCGTTTAGTTTGTCTTTAACGTTTTCAAGCTTAACTTCTACTTTAATTTTTGTTTGTATTTCGCTGAATTTGTCATTGGATATTGAACGTAATGTTTTGTCGGACGCTTCACATTTTTGCACAAACTGGTAGCAAACAGCGAGCTCAGCAACACAATTATAACATATCATTGATGGTAATCCGTCTTCTTCACTTATGTTTATATTGACACAGCGCATTATTTTAGCACTGTATTGAACATCATTTTCTTTACTAAACACAGATATGGTTGCAGATTTATGTAAACACACTCTACACAAGTTTAAATCCATCCTAACATAAGATTTACCTGCTTTAATAGCGTCTAATTATCTGATCGATCATAATATTATTTTATTTATTGATATTGAAAATTAAAAATCAATCAAAAATTTCAAAACCGCCATAATTTCAATGCCAGTGTCAAATTAAAAAGTTTCCTGGCAATGAAATTATGCTGTAGCGTTGGTTACAAGGCTTTTAGCCAATACAATGTATAAAAATATATGACAAAAACACCACCAAATCAAATATATAAAGAACTGAACATCTTTAAGTCTGAGTGTACAATACTTGAAAATTGGTGAAGCCTTTAGGCCGCAGGGTTCACAATGTTTTGACAATCTCCTATAAGTCGGGCAAATAAATATTTAAGCGTTTTGTTCATTCTGTATTGTTTTGGATAAATATGAATAAAAGGCATTCCTAAATTCAAACTGCCGTATCATCATCGAAACGAAAAACAAAACTAGTTTACATGTGATTTTTTGATAGTGCATAGAGTTTGACCTTAAAGCCCTGGATTTAATAATGTTATTGTTTAATCATTAAAGCTTTTCATAGCTCCTCAAGCACATGAGGACAACATGATCTCACCTCAATATAAGATTCATGAACATAATTATTAAAGTATAAAATAAAAAGGAAAGTTTGAATTGAATATGATTTATTTCAAAACATTTGCATATTTTTATATATATATATATTGGAAGTTTACTTCATTGTTCTCTATCACAGTCAAGATACACAGTGCTTAAATTACAGAAAAGAAACAAGCCAACAAGAGTCCATTAAAACAGTAAAAAGCAAAATGGAAAAAGTTAACAGTGTTTGAAAATAAAACAGAAAAGTCGAGTGAATGAACCGGACCTTTGTTCAAAGCACCCTCGTCTCTTGTGCACTAAAGGTCTCGCTAACTCCGTCCACCGGGTACCGTCTTGTCGCGGCATGCACCCGTCGGACACTCGTTAGCGCCGCGGCAAGGCAGTTCCTGGAGGTTGTAATCCTCGATATCTTTAAGAACCTTACCACAGAGTGCATAAAGTTACATCCACAGAACAACATGTAAATAAAGTTCACAATTCACAATCAAAAATATTTTTGATCCAGTCAAAACAATTAACTATGATTGCTTATTAAATATTGTCGTTAAAAACTAAATAATAAAGACAATGCTCTGCGCAACTGCCACCCCATCCATAAATAATGCAATCAGTCAACAATATACAGACATATAAACATGCACAGGTCCCCCCTCGTCGGGGAAACTGTTTTCCACTGATATCTCTCACTAAAGAAAACCTTACAAAAATACTTCCACAAACTTTGTGTTATTTCACTTTTTATATTAAAAATTCTTTTTATCATATTGAAAAGCTTCAATTCACACAACTTTGCAATCTGCAAAGATAAACAAATGTTTGATCCGTCCCTTACTTGGCTATTCACTAATGTATGGAGGCAATGTGATTTATTGATAACTAGTAAATAATTGAACCACCATAACCAATACTGCAATCTTTTTTATGATTATCGTAAAATCCAACATTTTTGATAGAGTTCAATATTTCTGCCATTTCTTAACAAATCCATAGACTACAGTAATGTCTATGAAAAGGTTGTATTTCAAATGACGTTAACTTTTTTAACATTAGTTGTATTGTAAGAAAAGATTGCAGCATTTGAAGCAAACAAGACAGAGTTAGGCCGCAGCGCTCCTATACACTATAAGCTCCGGCGACGTCGCACCTACCTACACTACACCTTATGTCGCAAATTAGCACCAGAGAGATGTAGGACACTGCACGACACGCGCACGACACGCGCACGACACGACACGGGTGAGCAGGGCCGCACAATAATGCGCCTCGTCCGCACGCACACATTCTCTACACTAATATTGCTAAACAAACCTTTTCGCGCCACATCTAACTACATATATTTACAATATTCATTTAATTCACCTAAACATTTATGTACAAAATGTCAAATATATTATTTCATGTGTCGCTCCGCCTGAACTGTGTGTCCAAATAAATATAACAATTATATTGCAATCATTTAAATAACCTATTTAAATTAAAATAAATAACAATGTCATCGTTGTCCCCCGCGCACCCCCGTGTGTATACAAACTGATGGTTTAACATTTTAACACATATCTGATTCATGTTTTGTTTTATTATTTACATTTAGATGGTACAACAGTGACGTTGTTAAATAAATATTACATCATAAAACATTTAAAATACTAATACGACATAAATTCATTATTAAATTTTAACTAAACATAGTAATAAAATAAATATAAAAATACTTGTGTATTGTGTACAAGAAGCATAGCGTCAATATTTAAATCTGTGCCCGAAAATATCTCGATGTCAATCTTACACTAAATACGATATTTCATTGAAATGTAATAAATAAAATCAAGTATCTGTTTATAAATATTTTAACTAATTATTTAACACTAATTGCACTATAAGTTCTCACATTGCACCAGTTCCGATATCATTGTGTTTGTAGAGGGCAACACTCCCCGCACTCCCCGCACCGGTGTTGCAGTAAATACTATTATTATAAACATCTTTATCATCACATTATTGCTCGTCAACATCATTTCATTCAAATCAATTAAACTTCCATCATCATAATATATTTGTAGTCAATTGACATTTTGTATTTACTTTTATTGTAATGTATACTCAAAGTATACATCGGGTATTATATTTTAAAAAAATGTATAGAAAACATTAATTTATATTGAAAATCTTGAATGGAAGATGACCATGGTCGTGTAATTGATTTGTACACACTCAATGTGTTTCGTATAATATAATATTAGAAATGAAACGTTTTTAGTTCATTACAAACTATATCCGCCACATAAATTCCTTTCTGTGAGGTGAGTCTTGCTCGGATTCCAATAGTATAAATGTGTCACAGTCAGATGCAGAGTGAGGTGTGGCGGTCAGTTGATGGCCTGCTCGGTCATCTGCAGACAGAGCGCGTCCAGGCCGGAGTAGTCGTCGTGCGGGTGTGGGTGTGTGTGAGGGTGGGGGCGCGGGGCGGAGCGCGGGGCGG